ACCTTTGAAACATCTATCACAATATCAACAAAAAAGTAAAAACTTTTCGAGTTATTCGGAATTTAATTTTACCATCCATCGTAACTTTTTTCCAGCTTCTTTTCGTTGAAGTATGTTATATAGATAAATTTAAAGGGCATTCGGTTAGGAGCTACAGTCTATAGCAAGTCAATAGTTTTTCGGCCGCCATTTTGAAAGTAAAATGGTAATGTCGAAGAAGGAGGATCATCCTCTGGTGACTTCTGATTTTATATCCAAATTTGAAAAAAATCGGTCCAGTAATTTCGAAGAAAATGCGCAGACGGCGTACGGCGGACGGACAAAATTGTTTGTATTCGTTTTTCGAATTCTACGCATCCTGAAACGTAAAACCTCAAATTTTGAGAGGGAGTTAAGTTTTTGAATTTTTTGGTCGATTATTCAATGACAATGGTTGATTATTGAAAATAATAAACCAAAAATTGTAAAAAAACGATCAACTCGTAAGGCCAAACATCCCCACATATATTATTACAGTAAGGCTCGAAATCGGTTTTGTACCAAATATGAGATCCTGTCATTCTCAAATACCATGAATGGGGTACCGTTGGATTCAGAATTTCACGGGGGATTAGCGAATCGTATTCTCCACTTTTGTTTTTCTTTCTAAAATAAATAAAGTCGATACAAACATTTTGCTAGGCTTCAATACAGGAACGGTGGTAGGTCTGTAGATCGATGCGGGACAAATACTTGGAGCTGAAGACCGATGTTCCGGAACTATCGGATCCTGCATTTTTAAGCCCCAAAACGTACTATTTTCGAGATAACGCAAAGCATGGAGTTCGCATCCACACAACCTGACGTTAATTGTAGTACTGTCATTGAATACATGTCTCATTTCGTCGACTTAAGGCCTCTATGATCGAGAGAGGGGAGTTTATATTATTTATCGATGGTGTTTTTGATCAGCAAGCCATATCATCGTTAATTCTTCACCAAATCTCAAGATTGAGCCACCAATTTTGAAGGCTTCCTTCTCCTTCATGCGGGCAAAATAGTCCATACACCCCGAAAATTCAGGCAAAAAAGTTATAAAAGAAAAGAAACTTTATTTGCGAATAACTAAAAAATTACACACTTTTCCCTTGGTTATGCCCATGATTATATAAAATATTACTAAATTGTCTACAAAAGGAAAAAAAATCATTGAAATCGGTCAACTTTTCGCAAAGATACAGCTTATTGAAATTTGTAAATATGTTGGTTCCAAACAAAAATGAAGATTTAAATTAATTTTGTTTCTTTTGTAGATTATATTTATCGATAAAGTAACAATCGATTCCTTTATCTTTTGATGCGTTGCATTATTTTATTTTATTATTAATTTGGCATTTGATAACAATGCGCTGTGCGAATTTTTCGCATGGGCCTACTATTTCTTTATTATATTCAAGGAAATGTGTCTGTTATAATTAATTAAAAGCTTACAGCGTTTGTCTAATAAGTGCTGAATTAACTGGAAAATTTGAACTATTTCTTGTTCTTTAATTCTTACGAAGAAAGGCTTCCGTGTAGTACTGCAATGCACAGGAAACATCTAGCACACTATGGCATTGCTGGGTAGTGGTGTGGGATGTTAGTAATCCAATCGAATCCACTCAGCTTACTCAGGATTGAAAAACAAATGCTCTACATTAAATTAAACTAGTAGGCCCGTGCGAAAAAGTATATTGTTATCAAATGCTAAATAAATAAGAAAAGAAAATAATGCAACGTATCAAAAGATAAAGGAATCAATTGTTACTTCATCGACAAACATAATCGACAAAAAAACAAAATTAATTTAAATAATCATTTTTGTTTGGAATCAATATATTTACAAATTACAATAAGCTGTATCGTTACGAAACGTTGTCCGATTTCAATGATTTCTTTTTCCTTTTGTAGACAATTTACTAATATTTATATAATCATGGGCATATCCAAGAAGGGAAAAGTGTGTAATTTTTTAGTTATTCGCAAATAAAGTTTCTTTTCATTCATAACTTGTTTGCCTGAATTTTCGGGGTGATTGGACTATTTTGCCCGCCTGAAGGAGAAGGAAGCCTTCGAAATTGGTGGCTCAATCTTGAGATTTGGTGAAGAATTAACGATAATATGGCTTACCGATCAAAAACATCATCGATAAATAATATAAACTCCTCCTCTCTCGATTATAGAGACCTCAAGTCGACGAAATGAGACATGTATCTAATGCTAGTACTACAATTAATGCAAGGTTGTGTGGATGCGAACCCTATGCCTTGCGTTATCTCGAAAATAGTACGTTTTGGGCTTAAAAACGCAGGATCCGATAGTTCCGGAGGAACTATCCTGGTCTTGCTGTACGCATCAAAATCTTCAAGGTCCAATTTGTCCCTCATCGATCTACAGACCTACCACCGTTCCAGTATTGAAGCCTAGCAAAATGTTTGTATCGACTTTATTTATTTTAGAAAGAAAAACAAAAGCGGAGAATACGATTCGCTAACACCCCGTGAAATTCTGAATCCAACGGTACCCCATTCATGGTATTTGAGCATGACAGGAGCTTATATTTGGTAAAAAACCGATTTCGAGCCTTGCTGTAATAATATATGTGGAGATCTGTAGTCATATTTCCCGTGCCCGAGTTCGAATCCCGCATTACCAAATAATTATTTATTCTGTTATATCAGCTACCGGCTAAGTTGAACTCTACGTATCTTGAAACGTAAACCCAAAATTTTAAAGATGTTTAGACATTTGTTTTTGTGATACAAAGATTCATTTTAGAAAATACTAAAATGTGCTGGGGAGGTTAAAAAAACAATGAAAATTTCATCGATATCCTAAAAATCTAATTCATTCCTCCGTAAAATCTTATTAAATGCCATTTTCATTCGTACGTTTCGCTCACTCGAGAGGACTTATAATTCTCCTTTATCAGAAAATGAAATGAGCGATGCGATGAAAGGCACTTGCTAACTCTCTCTTCCTCGCTGCCTCCTTTGAGGGTTGTTGCCCCTCTAAGGTTAGGCTTCAATTATCGAGAATATTAATTAGTTTATTTTTATTTTTATTGATTAGTACCAATATTGAATTAGATATATTTTGAGGATTTGTATTTTTAACCTTCCTGAAATTACTATCATACAAAGTAACATATACAGAATCCACAATAAAAATAATAAAAGAAAATCAGAAAAAACAAAAACAATAAAAGACATACTTATATTTAATTTGGAGAAAGATTGTGAATTTAGATGATTTCGTATATATTAATTTATTTTAAATAGGGAAATTCCCCACTTATCCATTTGGAAAAAATTCGATACCTTGGAATCCTCATAAAATACTGAAACGACAAGAAACTGTTTTACGTTTTAGACTACTCCAGAAATTACTAGCCAAACTCTCTAAACTTTCTATATATTACAAATGACTCATATACATGACTATAATAGATGAGTCACTATCCAATTTTCTTCTACTCCTCTGTTAAAAATTAAGGATTTTTCATAGATCAAACCCTCTCCTGGAACAACCATATTTCTCACATTTCCCATCGGATAATTTCTACCCTTAAACTATTTCATCGCGTCCGCCATCTCCTACCTCATCATACCCGTAGACTCCTAATTTCCTCTCTCATCTTCCCCCACTTTGACTACAGCTGTGTGGTGTATGATGGCCCCTCGGTGGAGCTCCGCGATAGACTGAAAAGATTAATGAATAGCTGCGTAAGATTTGTAATTGGTGCCCCGAGGTACTCCCTGTATGTCTCCCACCACTACACTGAGTTAAGGTGGCTCTTACCTTCGTTCGAAGACAATATTTCCTAGGTACATTCCTCTATCATATCATCAACAACCATCGTCATTCTTACGCCTACAACCTTCTGCACATTCACTGAATATATTCTTAATTTATACAGTTGTAAATCCCATGAATAAATAAAAAAAATAGGGACACTTTAAAATGTGTGTTGCCGGCAACATAAGTCATTTATTTTGTCTCAGTGCATGTCATAACATACGATGTCATTTTTAATTTTTATAATTATATCGTTCAATATTCTGTTCACTAAGAGACGTCCCAGCGACGAAATTCTCGACCACTTTCGGCAAAGACCGTCTATCGTCGTGTCACATGACATAACATGGGAAATAGTTCAATATGACGCTGCATATAGAATTACCTCCATGAGATTCTCTCGTCCCGTCACCATTCCCTCTGGAAAACCCAAATTTTGCTTTTACCGGATTGTGACGGCGATTTTCCGCATCTGGGACTGTGCATTAATATAAAGTAAATGCTATAGGAACTAAATCATTATCACTTGATTTTTATTTTATTTTTTTCATTTATCCTCCCTCGACGTTTTTGCATAGCATACGGTGGGAGGAGAAAGAAGGGGTGTTGTAGAGGTACAACCAAGGAGAACTTCGAGATTTTGTCCGTGGGTCTGCCATGGAATAAATTTTAACCCCTCAAGACTGGATTCGAATCTGCGCCACTTGACTCGGCAATGATAAAGTGGGGAATGCTTTAATACGGGTATACCCACGTTATAGAAACATACACAAAAAAACTGTACTACAGTCATGGGCCAATTTTTACGGTACCAAATCCCAAAGGATTTTGGGTTCAGTACTTTGTAAGGAAGAACTGTTTCTTGCAGAGAGTTGATAGGGCCGAGATCACACACAACCGCCTGGTTTTTTCCTTTTAATTAATTATCCAATTAACTATTTAATTAAGGCTTCTCAATTTATAGAGGCTGGGTGTTTACAAGGAGCTCTCTTGACCCTAGGGTTGCCCCATGCCTGATGAAAAATTACTTGTACATCAGTCCGATTCGAACCCAGGGCCTTGAGTTTTGCAGCCCAGTGCCTAACTCACTGAGCTAAGCCACTCCCTAGCTACCCAGTTTATAAATTAGTAAATTTTATCAAAATATAGTACTTTCATCGCCATTAATATGATTCGCTACTTACCCTTGACGGCTATTGTCTCCTTGAAGCTCATTGGCACTCCAAGAAGCGGTTTGTTCTTGGCCCAGTGTTGGGGATCTGGGTTAGCCTCCACCATCTTGTCCACTTCTTTGGCCTCCTTCAGGGCGTCGTTGAACCTGTCCTGGACAACGCTGGAGGCAAAGAATACATTGTGTCAAAGGACAGAGGTTGATGGTACTACAAGCTGGTATATTATTTAACAGTAAAATATTTTTGAAACATTGCCAAATACCAGGTGTGTTATCATCTATCTATCTCTACTAAGATAAGAAACAACTATATCCCACTTCAGTCTCTACTCTACTAAAAAACTTTATTTTTTTAATGTGGGGTTCTGTTAAAGGTCTGTATCTATGGTTCGCGGTATAGACTCCTTTTTTCTAATTATTATTTTTTATTTATTTACAAAATTATTCAGAATTTACAACCGCCCGTGTCATTTTCGCCCTATATTTCAATTTTTTTAATCAACTAATAGTATTACTTAAATTACAACACTACAGATGACAAATAAAATTTATCAATAGTTTACAGTAAACATAGGATGTTAATAAATAGTTAGAGCTTAGTAAATATATAAGCAGAATTAAATAAAACTTAAAAGTGCAGAGGTAATTAATATTAAAAGTTAGAGATCAAAGGAAGTGAAATTAACAAAAACTGGAAAAATTAACAAGACGAAATGCTAAAAAGTTCTGCTTGAAATTAAAACCTCATTTATCATATCGTATCCCACAGCTTTTTACTTTCACTTACTATATATTATATATGTAATATATAATAAGGGTAAGTGAAAATTTTCGAGTTCAGAGTTTTCAAATGAAATACATATTTTGAGGTCTCCAAGGAGTTACTTGAGGAGTCCAAATAACCAAGTCCCGCAAAATGGTCTGTGTGTATGTATGTTATCAGTCTAGCTAAAAAACGAAAAGTCGTATGAAAGTAAGATTGCATATTTATGATTTTTGTAAGCTTTAAAATGTTACAGCAACATTTTCGTCGGCAAACCGGAAGAGGTATAATTATTATCTTAGTATAATCGATTAAACATATTTATACGATTTTGTCAAAAACGGCTCTAACAATTTTGATTAAACTCATTATCAAAAAAGGTTTTATTCTCATTGATGTTCTCTAGCAGAAATTAAATGGCTAATTTTCAATATTGGCTTCCTCTAAAGTACCTTTATTATTTTTTTTATTTGAAATAATTAACCATTTCACCTTAATCTTTGATATAAAATATGAAAGAATTTTAAAATTAATTAAAAACGTATGAAATAAGAGATCGTAACGGATAATAGTTGTAATAGAGGAACCAAAGGGCGCTCGAGCTCACCCGAGTTCACTCGAAGATGACGTATATGAACATTGGACATTTAAGCCCTGCAAAATGACATCATTGGGGATAAGACTTCAATGGTATTAAATACCACTTAATTATACAATGATACACCGAATTTAATCGAAATCGTTTGAGCTGTTTTTGAGGAAATTTAAATTTTATATATGTAATTTGTGTCTAAATTGTGTCTATTCGACAAGATAAAACCGACAATAACTATCTTAAATTGTTTTTTTTTTTAAATATATATTGTGATAATTAATTAAATAGCATATATGCTGAAGGTGGCTGATGACCGGAAGTTAGATATAAAATAAAAATGACATAATAAAGGAGATTTGTGGAACAGAAGATCGAGAAAACTTTTGTATTTATGAACATATCTTATTGATGTCCCATCCATTCTATTCATAAAAAACTATTCCAAATTTTCTAATATCTTATTCAACTTGGAGAGATTAGAAAGATGCTCAAAAATTATCAGGAGTTGGAAGAAAAATATTAATAATCTCAAGAAAGACACGTTACTAAATTTGAATAGTCTTAATATACTTACAGGGACCGTATAAATTCATCAATATCCTCCCTTATAAGGGAGCCCCTTACCAGAGGAATTTGATTAATTATTTAATATTTATATATTATTTATATTTTATTATTTATTTATTTTTATAAGGTCGTCAATATATCACTTCCGGGCGTCCAATAGTCTAGGTACGCCACAAATTACGTACTTTTAGTCTTGCAAAAGAAATTAATGCGAAACGGTAAACGTTTTAAAATAAACCGTTACTTTATATATGACATATATGAACATTGGGCATTTAGGCTCTGTAAAGTGACATCAACGGAGATAAGACCTAAATGATATTAAATACCACTTAATTATACAACTATACACCGAGGTTGATCAAAATCGTTAGAGCCGTTTTTGAGAGAATTGTAAAAATGTGTTTCACCGTTGATATAAAGTGGCACTTCCGGTAAGCCGATTTTAAGGAAGAAGTTGCTGTCCATCTAAGGCATATACCTATCTTAAATACGTAATATCAGTTTCATACGATTTTTCGTTTTTGGGTTAGATTGTTCTCATAAACATACACGAACGCACAGACCATTTTGCGGGACTTGGTTATTTGGACTCAGGGGACTTCAAAACATGTATTTTCGTTGAAAACTTGGATTCGAAAATTTCCACGATCGCAATACTTTTCCTTACTATATATTCCATGTATAGGTAAGTGAAAGTAAAAATGTTGTAGATTGTGATAAGATAAAGCTATTCACGATGTTTGAGAGGGGTGTTAATAATTTGATAAAAAGAGGTCGAAAGGCTATTTTTGTTTTTTGGATTGTTCGATAATAATTTGGCTGAATTTGATATTTAATGTTCGATTGTGTTTATAAAAAAGGAAGAGATGTAGAGGATTCGGGATTAACGGTAACAGGAGCGATCATGCTTTTAGAGGTACAATGTTTTATACTCTTCCTTCACACGTGAAATTAATGCAGGTTTGTGATTTTAAAATAAAATAAATGGTATGAAACTGTTTCATTAACCAATATACGCTCCATTAATCTTGTTAAGGGGGGTCAGTCGTATTGGAGTTGCTTTCGATTTATGGAATTCCAAATAAGTGCTAGTCGCTTGGAGCTGTCTCTGGTGAAATTTCAGAGATATATGACTATTTTTTGCAAGTGAAGGAGAAGAACATCATTAAAATCAGTAACCAATCATTGGATTTGATGAAGAATTGACGATATTATGGCTTATAGAAAAAAAAAACACCTTTTAGTAATAATATATAAGACCAGTAGGCCCGTGCGAAAGTGAGCATAGCATATTGTTTTCAAATGCCAAATTAATAAGAAAATAAAATAATGCAACGAATATAAAGATAAAGAAATCAATTGTTACTTTATTGATAAATATAAACGATAAAGGAAAAAAAATTAATTTAAATCTTTATTAATGTTTGGAACCAATATGTTTATAAAATCCTACAAAAGGAAAAGAAGATTACTATCTGTTATATAATCATGGGCATATCCAAGAAGGGAAAAGTGTGTAATTTTTTAGATATTCGCAAATAAAGTTTGTTTTCTTTCATAACTTGTTTGTCTGCATTTTAGGAGTGATTGGACTATTTTGCCAGCCTGAAGGAGAAAGAAGCCTTCGAAATTGGTGGCTCAATCTTGAGATTTGGTGAAGAATTAACGATGATATGGCTTGCCGATCAAAAACACCATCGATAAATAATATAAACTCCTCCTCTCTTGATCATAGAGGCCTCAAGTCGACGAAATGAGACATGTATCCAATGACAATACTACAATTAATATAAGATTGTTTGGATGCGAACCCTATGCCTTGCGTTATCTCGAAAATAGTACGTTTTGGGGCATAAAACTCAGGAACCGATAGTTCCGAAGGCTTGCTGAACGCATCAAAATCTTCAAGGTGCAATTTGTCCCGTATCGATCTACAGACCTACCACCGTTCTGTATTGAAGCCTAGCAAAATGTTTGTATCGACTTTATTTATTTTAAAAAGAAAAACAAAAGTGGAGAATACGATTCGCTAACCCCCGTGAAATTCTTAATCCAACGGTACCCCATTCATGGTATTTGAGCATGACAGGAGCTTATATTTGCTACAAAACCGATTTCGAGCCTTACTGTAATAATATATGTGGAGATGGGGATAATAGCGACATAAAAATAAACGGAAAAACCTAAAGAACTCATTTGCCAACCCAACATATTAAATATGTAATAATGAAGATTATTTTCCTTTCTATTCTAAATTAGAACTGCTACTGTTTTATATTGTTTATAAATGCACTGAAATAAAACAAAATAACAGAATAAAAATAACCTGGCTTACCTGTTGATGATGGGGTTAACGACTTCGATTCTCTCTATGAAGGCCTGTACCACAGTTGTCGAAGATATCTGAAAATCAAATTAAAAACTATAGTAATTATCATTTTTATTTTCAGTTGTTTGTATATGTAATATGTAGTAAGGGAATATATTGCGATCGTGAAAATTTTTGAAACTGAGTTTCCAACGAAAATACACGTTTTGAGGTCCCCTGAGTCTAAATCGGCTAGTCCCGTTAAATGGCGTGTGTCTCTATGTGAATGTAACTAGTAAGCCTAGCTCAAAAACGAAACGATGTACGAAACTGACATTACTTATTTAAGATAGGTGTATGTGGATATGACAGCAATTTTTTCATTAAAATGGACTAACCGGCAGTGGCTATTTAAATCAACGGTCATACACATTTTTACAATTTTCTAAAAAAAGGCTCCAACGATTTTGATTAATCTCGGTGTATCATTGTATAATTAAGTGGTCTTTCATATAATTTATTTCTTACCCCCATTGTAGTATATTTAGATCAAAACGAATTTCCGGAAATACTAGTCAGAAGGTACCCGTATAATATATCGTCGGAAAGCGGGAATTTTAGAAAAAACAATATCCGATATAGAAAATCGTAGAAAGTAAACCAAAATGATGAAAAGTAATAATTTGTGAAAACTAATATCATTTAACGTAAATCACATGTTTTCAAAGAAATCAAATGCAATTTACTAATTAAATGTAAATTTTTTAAATTTGAAAAAAAATTCAGAAGCCACCTAATCAAGACAATGCCATTGTTGAAAAAAACTATTTCATTGTACTTACGTTTCATGGACCTATAAAACATGCGTTTATAATCTTAAATACATTTACTGTAGTTTGATATCTCTAAATCTGATATTTGATTTAAATAATTAGGTATCAACTTCCGTTTATTCCGAAAAATCGTTATGTAACCTTTTAAAAATTGAAATTGGTGAGTAATTTAATAAATTTTCCCTTTGTGAAATCCAAACATTATCCGTTTAAAATTAGTGTAAAAACTTTTGACCTGTTTATGACAGGCAATGAAAATGTAATTTCTTTGTAGTAAACCTTACAATGGAAAATAACAGTTTAGTAACTAATAGGCGTATGATCCATAAGCATTTAGAGGTTGAATATAGATATATACTTAAGCTATAGCTTCGTTAAAAGTGCACTTCAAAAATTTTATAATCGCTCAACATTACCAGAAAGTAATTTCTATTTAAAGTAGAAAGGTAAGTGAAAGATGTGTGTTGCGCGCACCAGATTTTTTTCATTATTACAGTTTCCATTAATATTTTTTTGTTTTTATTTTTGCTCTTAAGAATCGAAAATCCGCAGATTGGCTGACATATTTATGATGAAAAAATTATAAGTAAAATAAAAATATAATAAGGCACGATAGGCATGAGGAAAAGCAATGCTCTGTAGTACCCCTTTTGTCTCTTTTATTTTTCAAAAACATCATGTAAGTAGATCCCTCATCCAGACCCTTTTCAGTCGTCTTCTGGAGTTTTCCGGCAAAATAATTGTGGCCATTTGTTTTATGAACTTATTATTAAATCGTTTGTAGTAGTCCATTAGTCCAGACAGGCTTTAAAAGATATGAGTTAGTATTTATTTATCACTTCTCTAATACCAACCACTTGCATTACACATCATATTTAATTAAAGCCATTTTTATTTTTCATTAATTTAATTTAACTAATTTTTTAACGTTTTAATCTGTTAAACTAATTAAACCCTGTTAAATTCTTGTGAATAATGCTAATTTAATTATAAATAATATCTTTAATGTCTGCATGATTAAATCAGTGTACAATTAAGAAGATAAAAACACATGCAAATTGAAACAATTATCTGTATTATAATAATTTGTTTTGTTCGAAGATTATTTCACACCACTGTACAGCTGCTAGATATCTGCACGTGTCAAGAAAAATTTATATATTTATCACTAAAAGTTTTATCAATACTTTGACCAATCTTGTTTTTTTTTTTTTTTAATGACGACTTAAAACATAATTTTTGTTTCTTGTTTTGTTTTTTTGAGTAATTGAAGTTGTAATTAATGATGTTTCTCATAATTCAGATTTCTCGTTCGTCATTTTAATTTAAATAACCATATTATTTTCGTTTTTAACCTTTTAAAGCTTAGGGAATATGATTCCTCAAAACACTAAGGCATCTCCTTAAAACTCCAGTTTTGTATTGTATGTATTTATACGTTTCAGTATTATATAACTAAAATGATGACTATAATTATCATAATGCTAACTGTATTATTAATACATAGTTGCAACACCGTATCATCAAAATGCCAAGGTTGAATTGCACGCGATATTTCGCTCAATGGTGTATTCATCAAGTACTTTCATTCATAACTGAAAGGGATAAAAATATTTTATATAATTAAGATTTATCGAGTTTAGAATCGACCTTCTACGCATTATTTTTACTATTAACTATTAAATAAAGTACAATAGTTTATAAAAGATGAATCATTTTATCTTTTTTTCGCTCAATGGTGTACTCATCATCTTAGTCCGTGATACAGACCTCATTTCATCAAATTATTAACATCCAGCTAAAACTTTGTAAATAGCTTTATCTCATCTTATCATACGAATATTTTAAATTTAATTTAATTTTAATTAATTTAATTTTAATTAATAATAATAATGAAATTAATTAATTTTAATTAATTAAATTAATTTTAATTAATTTTCTCGCGCGGGCTCATTACCGCGTATGGGGAGCGTCCCACGGGTGGCGGATGTGGGGATGGTCGGTGGAAATTCCTTGGAAGTTCCTCCCGGCTAAGTCCGATGGACTCGCTGACCAACAATGAGAGGGGCCCTCCAGACTTGCTGGAGGGAGGGGACCTCCAGACTTGCTGGAGGTAGGGGCCCACCAGACTTGCTGGAGGTAGGGGCCCACCAGACTTGCTGGAGGGTGTGACGTAGGATTGAACGCCCTACTCACATATCTTTAGTTCACCAAACACCACAAAAAGTCATGGATCTCCCTAAGGTAAAACGCTCATTATCCGGAGGTAAACTAGTCCCCCGTTCGGGTCTCCGGGTGGGGACTGCTTTAGGGGATTCATGGCGCAAGTTGAAATATAGGGATTTAAATATTGGTACGTGGAACGTAAGGAGTTTAAACACAGCAGGGGGGCTAAAATCGGTCGCGAATGAGGTAAATGGGTACAATTTGGATGTCGTGGCTCTGCAAGAGGTTCGCTGACCAGGGGAGGGCTCGATGAGGGAAGGGAAGTACACTATTTGGTACGGAGGAAGCGGGAATCATTGTTTGGGTACCGGGTTTCTAGTTAGGAGTAGATTACTATCCGCTTTGAGGGACGTACAATTCTTTAGTGATAGAATTTCGGTAGCTAAATTTCAGGGACGTTGGTTTAAAATCGCATTAATAAACATACATTGTCCGACCGAAGACAGTGACGATGAAGTCAAAAGTGAATTTTACGATAAACTCGAATGGGTTTATGATAAACTACGGCGAAACTACATGAAAATAATTGTAGGTGACGCGAACGCAAAGGTAGGAAGGGAAGAAGTGTATATTCCGACGATTGGTAAAGAAAGTTTGCACGAATATAGTAATGATAATGGGATCCGTCTGATAAACTTTGCCATCTCGAAAAACCTGATCATTAAAAGTACGACGTTTAAACATAAGGATATTCATAAATATACTTGGACATCACCGGATTCGCAAACACGAAATCAAATCGATCATGTCTTGATACAACAGAGCTGGCAAAGCAGTATAATTAATGTACGGTCTTATCGCGGAGCAGAATGTGGGTCGGATCATGAATTAGTAATCGCGAAACTTCGACAAAAACTTAATATAAAAAAGAGAAAAGAAAACCGTTTCAACTTTGAGAATTTTAATTTGGAAAAATTAAAAAACCCATCAATTAGAAACCAATTCGAGCTAGATGTTAAGAATAGGTTTGAAGCTTTAGAGCTTCCTGACGAGGACCACGAGGATATTGACAAGCTGTGGATAGAGATCAGGGATAATATTAAAGCGGTCGGTAACTCGTGTCTAGGAAAAAAGGAAAATAAGAATAACAAACCATGGTTTGATGAAGATTGCTTAAAAATCTGTGAAAAAAGAAAAGCCGCTAAATTAAAAGCTCTAAATAATCCTAGCGAAGACAATCTGGAATACTTCCGAATCTCAAAGAACGAAACGACAAAATTGCTCAAAAATAAAAAAAGGGAGTATCTAAAAAATAAAATAATTGAAATAGAAACTAATAGAATCGAAAATAACGTAAGAGACATGTACAAAGGTATAAACAGGTCACGTAAATATGTAGGGCCCGTAACGTCTGGAATTAGGGATGATAATAACAATATTCTGACCGATCCGGTTGACATATTGAATAAGTTTAAAGACCACTTTGACAATATTTTAAATACGGGAAATTATGATCTGTGTCCTCCTTCTGAGTACCAGAGTGCTGAACCGTTAATAGAAGGACCAAGTAAAGAGGAAGTTGAAGTAGCTATCGGAAAATTAAAATCATATAAAGCAGCGGGAATCGATAATATTCCTACTGAACTAATTAAGGCATGCGGGGAAGCTGGAGTTTCTAAAATACATCGGTTGGTTAAAAAGATCTGGGTGAACGAGAAATTACCTGAAGAATGGAAAGAATCTATTCTTATTCCGATTCACAAAAAGGGTCCGAGGACGGATTGTAATAACTATCGAGGAATTTCACTCCTTCCGGTATGTTATAAAATATTCACTTCAATCTTAACCAGTCGAATCACGGAATATGCCGAGGAAATTATCGGAGACTACCAATGCGGATTTAGACGGAATCGTTCGACAATTGATCAAATATTTTCTTTACGGCAAATATTAGAGAAAAAATTGGAGTACAACGGTATTGTTCACCAGCTGTATATAGATTTTAAAAAGGCTTACGATTCTATTGACCGCCAGAAACTGTATAATATTCTAATGGAGCAGGGGATTCCAAAAAAACTCGTAAATCTAGTCAGGATGTGCTTGACGGAGACACTCAATAAAGTTAGAATCGGTAATAATTTGTCCGAAAAATTTGAGGTTCGTTCGGGCTTGAAACAGGGGGATTCTCTTTCACCTTTCCTGTTCAATTTGGCATTAGAACATGCCATTAGGGAGGTAATGCGAACCGAGAAAGGGTTGGATCTGGGCGGGACAACATCCGTGCTGGGCTATGCTGATGATCTGGTACTGTTAAGCGAAGACGTTGAAACTATAAAACTAAATACGACAACGTTAATGAAAGCCGGTAAAGAACTAGGACTCGAAATAAACGTGGATAAAACAAAATATATGGTTAGCTGCAAAAATGTCGATACTACTGGTGATATCGATATAGATGGTAATATGTTTGAACAGGTAGATAAATTTAGGTATCTAGGTTCTACAATAACTAGAAAAAACGAAATTGAAGAAGAGATTAAGGTTAGACTGAAGGCGGGGAATGCTTGTTATTTTTCTGTGACAAAACTACTTAGTTCGCGCCTCTTGTCCCGAAACTTAAAAATTAGAATCTATAAAACAATTATCTTGCCTATAGTTCTTTATGGATGCGAAACTTGGCCGCTTACATTAAGGGATGAACAGCGTCTTAAAGTTTTTGAAAATAAAGTATTGCGTAGAATATTCGGACCGAAGAAGGATGAGTTAACCGGAGAGTTCAGACGGTTACACAACGCCGAATTGCGTGAGCTGTATCCGGGTAATATAATGGAGGTAATTTCATCGCGGCGAATCAAATGGGCTTGTAAAGTTGTTGGGCTTAGTAACGAGAGAATTCCTAAAAGGTTAATATTTGCTGTGCCGAATGGTAAGCGTCCGAGGGGTAGACCGAAGCGAAGGTGGGAAGATTGCATTAAAGCCGATCTGAAGGGACTGGGTTTGGACGGCGAACGGTGGAGGGAGGTGTGTAACAAGCGATTGGTGGTGTCGGCATCGAACCTTCGGGTTCGCTAAGCCTTATTATTATTATTATTATTTAATTAATTTAATTTAATTCCCATGTCTCTCACCACTACACTGAGTTAAGGTGGCTCTTCCCCTGCTTTAGAAAACAATATTTCCTAGGTACGTTCCTCTATCAAATCATTAACAACCATCGTCCTTCTTACGCCTACAACCTTCTCCAATTCAAGTCCTCAGTCCATTCCCTTTCAATAAGATCTCGACCTTCTGACTTCTACATCCCTTCGCACAGATCTGCCTCATTTCAGAATTCCTTTATAGCTCGCGCTGTCAATTTCTGGAATTCTCCATCTAACAAAATTCGGCATTCCTCATCCATACCCACATTCAAATCCCTCCTATTCCGATTCCTATCCCAAAAACAGTGAGATACTTGCTAAACTTTCGATATTATACATTTCTAGTCATCATCAAACGATAGTGCTGTTCTATCCTGGGAACTTCACTAGGGATATTACAATATTTTCCAGCTCTTACTGGCACTGACCGCATCTATTGTTTGTTTTTTTATTTTTATTTTTATTATTATTTTTATTGGTATATAATTAAATCTGTACCTAACATTTGACAATGATGAGTCTACATACTAATCAGTATTTAAAGACACTGATATTTTATACTGTCAGCTTTGTCTTTTCTTTGTTAGCAGAAACACACCTCATTATAAAGAAGAACTGAGTGTATTTTTTATTATTTTATTTTTCAAAAGAGTATAATTATAATTTTTCCTACTGTACATAGTCTTAAGTGTTTTATCATAGTTTTAAGTGTTTTGTATATAGATTTTTTTTTTTTTTGTATATAGCTTGTTTAACTAATATTTTATTTACTTTCTCTTTTTTATCATTGTTTTATTTTGGCCAGATGTAGTATTTTATGTTCTACTTTGTTATTCTAAAGGGACTTTGTTCCAGAATAAAGTTATTTTCTATTTAAAAAAAAAAAATATTTTACTTAAGAAAGTTCTGGGAATTGGGCCGTTTTCAACCTGGAGATTGGCAAACTTTGTATATTTAATTAGATACTAAAAATTCACGAATACCCATTTGCTTTCCACTTGAATCGTAAGGTAATATGATCACCAAATTGAAAAAAAAAAAAAAAAAAAAAGGTGGTCTAAATACTGGGCCGTTTGACATGACCTTCACTCCCAACATGTCAAAATAACGAGGTTACATAGTCCAAACGGCACCATATTTTCGTAGGCCACCTTTTTTTTTTCATTTTGTGATCTTATTATCTTATTATTCAAGTGGAAACCAAATGGGTGGTATTCGTGAGTTTTTAGTATCTAATCAAACAGACAAAGTTTAATCTCCAGTTTGAAAACACCTCAATTCCGAGAATTTTAGTAAACAAAATATTTGTTGGTTAAATGATATAAAGCTATTTACGAAATTTTTGGGGGATTTTAATAATTTGCTAAAAAGGAGTCTGTACCCCTGACTATTTACTTTCATTCATAACTGCAAGTAATAAAAATATTTTTTATAATTAAAATTTATCAATTGGTAGGATCGTTTATGACGTACTCTTTTTATTTATTTTTTTAAACTATTTGTTCAAGATATTTACAACTGTATTACTATATAAATACATCAAGTAAATGTGTACACAAGAATATAATCACTTGAAAATGCTTGTTGAGAAACTACCCACAAGTAGCACTCTAATAATATGTCTAGATAAGGAGATCACGAGGCCATCTTCTTTTCAGACGCCTCGGGGGTTATCAGGAATCGAAGAGGAAGCAAGGTTTGAAACGAAAGGGTTCGGATGGTTCTGAAGTTTGTTATGGAAGGATAGGTATCTGGATTGGGCTAAATTGCAAAGATATGGAACATTAAGGTCATTATGGAGTATCTTATTTGTGACAAAGTAAGGAGCATTGAGGATTTTACGAAGGATTTTGGATTGTAAGGATTGGATACGAGAGGAATTTGATGGTTTAGTGGAGCCCCATAGCTCAACTCCGTAAGTCCAAATAGGTCCTATTATAGTCATGTATATTAGTCTTTTCTAATTAATAGAAAGTTTAGAGCGTTTGTTCAGTAAGTGTTGGAGTAAGCGGAAACGTCGAGCTGTTTCTTGTCGCTTCAGTCTTGTATAAGGATTCCAAGTGAGACGTTTGTACAGGTGGTCAGTCCTAGGTATCAGATTTGTTCTTTTTATTAATTCATAAAAAAAGTACCGTTTTTCATAAGATTTGTATCTTTTTATTTTCTTGCTAATAAAATTTCTTTCTCTTTCTTACCATCATACAGGAGTTCCCAGAAAAGAGCTTAAAGTTGCGCCAAAACATTTTTGAGGGGGTATATTTTGACTGTTTTTTAATTTTTTAGGGGAGGAAATTTCGATGGAGTTATGAATTTTCGAACTAAGGGACAAGGGGAAAAACAGGGAACATACCGCAGAAAGTGTAATTGTATATGATCTACGATTTTTCTAATTCTACCTTAGCTCTGTTTTTAAGAAAAGGTAAACAATAAAATATCTTGGGAGGAGGGAACAGGAGTAGGTTTTTGCGCCATCGACCTTGGGGTGGGGACGGGGTGGGCATGTTGTTATCTTGTCTTTTGTTTTTGTAATAATAATAATAAGAATAATTGAGCAGGTCACCTTGCGTTCCCTTATCATCTCCGCCAGTTCTGAAGCCTTCTTCATGAGGAGGGGGTTGTTGACCGGTGGTACCACTCTCTTCTTCACCGTCATACTGTAGATCCTGGAGTAGGGCCATGCTACCAGGGAGGCCAAGAACTGGAGGAACCTCAATACTCTATGTCTCCAGGAGCTCCACATCTGCAATCATTGTTCATAATCAGTCATTTACAATTAAGGAAATATCATTTAAAATATTATCTATTTCGGCAAGAACTATATTGTTTCTTATATAACGAATAAAATTATATATATATATATATTTTTTTTTTTTTTTTTTTTTTTTTTTCCTCTTTAGATATACATCCGGATCTGCCATTAATTTGAGATAAGCAGATGGCCTGTAGTAAATTCGGAAAATCGTCTGTTAGACATTAGCACTAACGGATCCAGGATTTAATTTTGGGGAGGGCTTCAGCCCGAAAGATTTTTTTTTTTTTGTATAAACATATTAGGAAGTCTAGGAATTGGAGGGTTTTCAATCTAGAGATCGACAAAATTTGGCTATTTAATTAGTTAAAGATTTGGGAATTGTTGTATTTTTAGTTAATACAGTCGTGAATTTCAATAAATAAATAATATTTATGTTACTATATCCATGGAAGGCCCTACATGTAGGCTGGAGTCCAGACTCCAGACAGCTATAGGCACTGACCCAGACCTCCAAGATCAGGAACCGTTATCCACTGGCCTTAACTATTATGTGCTATTCGCTTCGCCTGTCGATGTATTGTTATTCGTATCGATCTATCGAAGAGTGCATCAATCTCCTCAACTACTGTCGATCTCAAATCGAATAGATAATTAAATACATGCAGGCACTAGCGGATCCAGGATTTAATTTTTTGGGGGGGAGCTTCAGTTCGAAAACTTTGTTTTTCATATATATATATATATAACAATAATTAATTTAAAAAAGATTGAAAGAAATTAACTATCTATATGAAATAGTGTTCAAGTGATTCTTGAAGCTCTATTAAATGTAATTACACGAACAATAATAGTTTAAGAGATAGTTTTTAATATTTTTTTCTATAAAATATGATTATATTTTACCATTTTGGGAGGGGAGGGCTTCAGCCTGAAAGCTCCCCTCCCGTAAATCCGCCTGTGCATACAGAGGTCATTGTAATCATATCAAGTTAAGATCACTATTGTCTGGTCGAACTCGATTACTTGGAGAGTAGGCACTTGCAAGCATTTTAGGAGTATTATTGTATGATAGGCAGGGGAAGAAAGAGTATAAGAAAGTTTCTAAATTCATCGATGGAATTCAGAGTGTTCCTTGCTTGATCGATTAATTCTTTATTCTACAGTTCCAGTGGATTTTGGGTCTATAGATGTCATTGTTTTTTTTTTGTTTTTTTTTTGAAGAATAAAATAAATAAATATAAAAATATTAAGAAAGCAAATTCCATTGGCCATTTAAAAAAAAATATATCATGTAGGTTCAATATAGCTTCTTCATCTTATTGGTTACATAACTACATGCGTATACTTGAAGGTCTATGATGTCGTTGGATAACAAAATCTACACTAGCTTTAGTTTTCTTTTTTTTTCCGCATTCTTCAAACACCACTTGGACATTACTTCATGTACTTTCTTCTTCTTTTTTTTCATCTTCCAGCGTAATCATCGTAATGAAAACAAAATAAATGAAAAAAAAACACGAATGAACTGAGGTAGGATTTCAAATAATCCTTGTTTAGGATTCCTCTCTAAGTAAGTATTTTATACAGCACGTATTAATTTTATAGTTTGTTATGTTTTATTAATTTTTATCATTTATCAAGTAATAATTCCAATAAACTGCTAAATTCCAATATTTTTTTTCAGAGTATAAAATATTTAGTTCATGTAGGTTTATGATTTTCAATAGTCAACCTTTGTAATCAATTAATAAAGAAAAAAAGCTTAACCCCTTCAAAAATTTGAGGTTTTATGTTTTAAGATACCTAGAATCCAAAAATCAAATTTAAAAAATCCGTCTGCGGCTTTTCTCCCAGAATACCGGACCGATTGTTTTGAGATGTGGTATCAATATCAAAGGGCACCCGAGGATAATCCTAGAAACTCGGCATTACAATCCGCCCTTTTATTTCAAGATGGAGGACAAAAAAAACCTTTGTCGCTATACAATACAGTATACCCATTTGTAAACGCTGACTGGAAAGATAATAAAAGTAATAAAGACAAAATAATGAATAATACACCGATCATGGGATTTTCTAAATTATTAAAAAAAAAACAATGTAAGAACAAACAAATACCTTTAAGAAATAATAAATTTAATATATCATCTCTCTATTATAAATGTCCTAGAGACAGATTGTAATATTTTTCAATAAATAAGTTTAAAATATATATATATATATATATATCATCCAGGAAAAAAAAAAGTGTAGTAGACTATTTTACCCCTAAATGTAATATATTTTAAGAGAGAGGCAATATTAAGTATATCAAAATTAATGGACTGTATCTTTGTTAATAATTGTTCGATTTTACGATTTTTTTTTTTTGTTTTGTAGGTAATTTAGTAATATTTCTAATTATCATGGATACAATCAAGAAAAAAAAATGCTTACTTTTTGAGTTATTTGTAAATAAAGTTTCTTTTCCTTAATAACATTCTTACCTGAAATTATAGGAGTAGGATTATTTTCCTCATGTGAAGGAGAAGGAGAATATATTTAAAATGAGTGGTCAATCATTGGATTTGATGAAGAAACGACGAAGTTATAGCGCACCGACAAAAAAAAAAAAAAACACCGTTTAGAAATAATATATAGGATAACATACTTCAACGAAAAGTACTTTCCTATCTAGGTAGCGGCCGAAAAACATGTGCCTTATAGACTTAGCGCCTAAACAAATATACCGATTTCGGTGGAAATTTGCTAAATTCTCCTCATTAGAACCCCTTTAAATATATCTATTTAACACACATCGCCGAAAAGAAGTTGAAAAAAAATTTTTGAGGGGTGTTAAAATTAGATTTTCCAATAAATCAAAAGTTAGTAGTGGTTGTTGTATATGGTCATGTAAAAGTTTACGAAATTTCCAAAAAAAAGAATTGTTGTAATCGGACGATTCAGCTGATATTCTTTGGTTTTATTTTTTATATTACATTTATTCATTTGACTTTTATCATTACTCCTGGTTTGTAGAATGATTCCATAATACATATACAATTTTGAAGGCAAGTTCTGCCTAAAATAACTCGGCTGTATCCCGTTTTAACGGCTTTGGAAGCTCGAATTAAACGGTAAACAGTTTATTTAGTGGTATTGTGTGGATAAGACAGGCTTCCCGACGAAGAGAATGAAAACATTCCATATTTAGAAGTTCTTGTTCCTGTTGCGCTGAGAGCGATAGATTTAAGGCCTCTGTTAACTCCTGACGCTGAAATTTTCTAGCATTATATTAAAAAAAAAAAAAAAAATTGCAAGCGTAAAAAAAAACAAAGAAAAAATAAATAAATGCTATTTTTTTGCTGACGTTTCGGCCCAAAGTTTAGGGCTTCATCAGGGCTAAGAAAAGATAACAGGTATGAGATATTATTAACAGTAAAAAGAAAATAATAATATGTAGGTGAATGATCTAGTAGTCTAATAACATTTAGTTAAAATAAACTTAACATTAACAAATAAGTGGAGAGACAAAATATGAAATATAAATAAAGGAACTTAGATTTAATTTTTTTCATTTATATTTCATATTTCTGCCTCTCCACTTATTTATTAATGTTAAGTTTATTCTAACTACATGTTATTAGTACACCTACATATTATTTTTTTTCTTTTTACTGTTGATAGTTTCTCATATCTATTGTTATCTTGTCTTTTCTTAGCCCTGAACTTTGGACCGAAACGTCGGCAGAAATAAAAATAAATATGATTTTTTTTTTTTTACTTTACATTTTTTACTGAACACCGCAATGAACTTCTCTTCAATTATTTACTGCAGTCAACCATCTACCCACAATTAGATAACATTATATATTATGGTATTATAATTTTTATAGTATTTTATTTTTCTGTTGTTATTACAGATCTTGCAGATCTTTTGCCGCCTTAACAAGCTTGTTCCATCTCAGCCTATCTTGGGCTATTTTTCTATTTATCTGCACGCAGCTTCATTACATCTTTGTTGATCCTATCTATCCATCTGCTTTGTGGCCTTCCACGTGATCCTTTTCTTACTATTGAGACTTTCATAGTCATGTCGAGGCTTCCAAATTAATAACTCCGAGCTGCATTATTTTTTTTTTATTTTAAACTCTGCCGTTCCTTATAGGCAATACGGGTGTCTGCAATAGTAAGATGTTAGACAGCTCAGCTTAACATCTCACTGCTCCAAGTAAATCTTGATCTTCTGCTCTTTCTTGATATCATTGGTACTTACTGTTAATAAGTTTATTCACATTGTTTATAATTTTTACTCTCACTTGCGTATATATATAATATATAGTAAGGGTAAGTATTGCGATCGAAAAAATGTTTGAATCTGAGTTTTCAACGGACTTACACGTTTTGAGGTACCCTGAGTCGAAATGACCAAGTCCCGAAAAATGGTGTGTGTTTGTATGTTAGCAGTCTAGCTCAAAAACGAAAAGTCCTACGAAACTGATATTACGTATTTAAGACAGGTATATGCCTTAGATGTGCCGGCAAATTTTTCCTTAAAATCTGCTAACCGAAAGTGCCACTTTATATCAACGCTGAAACACATATTCACAATTTTCTCAAAAACGGCTCTAACGATTTTGTATAATTAAGTTGTCTTTAATATCAATAAAGTCTTATCTCCATTGATGTCACTTTACAGGGCTTAAATGCCCAATGTTCATATACGTCTTCCTCTAAAGTACCTTTAATATGGTTTATTTTAAAAAGTTTATCATTTCACATTATTTAAAGTAATGAAAAAATGCTAAATATAACTTTTGAAAGAATTTGATAAGTTAATAAAGGAGAAAAAAAAATGCAGAAAAACCATCGTTGCTATTGACTGTAGCGCCTAAACGAATGTACCGATTTCAATGAAAATTCCATAAAGTAATTTTCTCAACATCCTTTAAATTTATCTATATAACATACTTCAACGAAAAGAAGCTGGAAAAAAAGTTACGAGGGAT